TCACTGAAAAGACGTTCCCCGACCCCCCGAATCCAAGAACACGTGACTTTATGATCGATTTCGTAGGGGTGTGTCGAATCGTCACAAGATATGTCGAACCACTGGGGGCATTCGAAGAACTCAACCTCTGACTCCTCGCTCGCGGGGTCTATCCGAGAGCCCGCTGTTGCACCCTGTATGTGATTGGCCTCACTCGTGGGATCAGTCTGAGAGCCCACTGAAACAGTTTCCACGATCCTAATTTGGTCAATTCTCACATCTGGAGCCCCGTATTCGATATCGAGTGCGTCCTCGCCTTCTGGCAGAAAGGCGCTCGCCGGTATCAATGCCGCAAACTCCTCGGGGGAGTGCTGGGGGTATGAACTCCAATCTGCGTCGTCCTGTTCGGCTCCTGCGTCCCGGTTACCGTCGCCCTGCTCATCCCAAGACCAACCGGGACCCCACCGGTTCTGATCCCAGGCCTGTTCATGTGAGTGGCTTCCTTTTCCTGACCGCTGTTTCCCTTTGCCGTTGAACCTGCACTCTGACGTCCAATGGTTCTTCATCCTGCAAATGTCGCACCATTTATTTGCGGAAGGATTCCAACCGGTCTTGCCTCCACTATTCGAATATTCCTTACCCTTGCCTCCAGTGCTCGACTGATCTTTCCATTTACCTTTACGGTCATGTTGGTGCCAACCCTGAGCCTGGGTGGAGGAACCCGGTCCTTGCCAAGAGGATGACGGGTATCCACGGCCAGACCCCGCTCCGTGGGAATATCCCTTAGGAGTGCCCTTGGGGATGCCTTTCGGGGATCCTTTGGGAGAGCCCCTATTGTCACCCTTTGGGAATCCTTTCGGAAAACCTTTCGGGGTACCTTTCGGAGAACCTTTCAACGCATCTACTTCCATAGGTTTGGGGCCGTTATCCTTTCTAGCGTACGGGTTTTTCCACTCACGTTTGATTCCTACGTATTTGTGTATCTCTCGTTTGAGGTCTTCGTAAGTTTCACACAAATGGCTGTTCAAGTCGAAATGTGTCTTCATGGGTTCCGGGATCGTCTTCATAACCACGCTAACTATCACATCGTCTGCTAGCTCGTCAGGGCTGGCTAGGTCGTCGTACTCTTTGATTAGCAACTCCATTTCTTCCAGGCGCTCAAGAACCTCTGGGAGGGAGGCGCCCGCGAAACTAAAGTCCACGACCGCATTCAGAACTCCTCTTTTCGTATTTTTGTCTTTGTGTTCATACCTAATGCACATCCTACGCCACATCTCAAGACCATTACCTTTCTCGATCTTCCTAAATACTTTCGTCATCTCTCCGTACACAACGCTCTTTAGAATGTAAGCTATATTCGCAGAATGTTGTTTTACATCTTCTTCTGTAGCTGCTAGTGTGATGGGGTTCACATGTTCTCGTGCACGTTCCATGTGTTGCAACATGTATTGGCTCACAGCTCCACAGTAGGATTCGAAACGATAACACCAATCACTCCAATCATTCTCATCACCCGAGAAATCTTTGAGACCACGTCCTAACAACTTCGTGTCAATCACTGCTGCCATTGTTCCTACACTAGGTGTCTTCCCAGAGCCCTACTTGGGTTGGGGATGCTACTCTACAACGAGTCTTCCCAGAGCCCTACTTGGGTTGGGGATGTATCCTAAGTCCGTGTATTTGTCACCACGGCTCCGCCACCATGAAAAGATAAGCGGGTGATTTCGATATGGAGGAATTTATCCTGGGCTCGAGGCTCAAGCCGGCTGCGGGTGAAGGAATCGTAACAGGAGGAGGAGGAGGAGGAGGAGGAGGAGGAGGAGGAGGGAGGAGGAGGAGGAGAGGAGGAGTTGGAGGAGGAGGAGGAGAGGAGGAGGGAATGAGGAGGAGGAGGAGGAGGAGGAGGAGGGGAGGAGAGAGGGAGGGAGGAGGAGAGGAGGAGGAGGGAGGAGGGAGAAGGAGGAGGAGGGAGGAGGAGGAGGAGGAGGAGAGGGAGGAGGGAGGAGGAAGGAGGAGGAGGAGGAGGAGGAGGAGGAGGAGGAGGAGGAGGGCTCGTGGCTCGTGGGTCGTGGGTGATGCTTAGCTCGGTTGGCGCGGCTCGTGGAGCGAGGGAGTCGCGCTTCGGGGGCCGTGCAGGGCATGGGCCGCCGGTGGGCCCCGTCGGCATTCGCCGCTCGTGCTCGCGGGCATTCGGTCCTCGTGACGCCGCGCCCCTCGACGGTTCGGGGCCTCCTCCTTTTTTTTCTCAACCAAGCTGTGTTGTTGGGTCCTCGTTTTGAAGGGACGTCGCCCCGCGTTCTCCTCCACCTCCTCCTCCTCCGCCTCCTCCTCCTCCCTCCTCCATCCTCCTCCGCCTCCTCCTCCTCCTCCTCCCTCCTCTCATCTCTCATCATCATCATCATCATCATCATCATTCAATCATCATCATCATCATCACCACACCACCACACCACCACCACCACCACCACCACCACCACCACCACCACCACCAACCACCACCACCACCACCACCAACCACATCATCATCATCTCAATCATCCTCATCATCATCATCATCATCATCATCATCATCATCAGCATCATCATCATCATCATCATCATCATCATCATCATCATCATCATATCACCACCACCATCATCATCATCATCATAATCACCTCTCTTCACCTTCTCTCCCTCCTCCATCACCATCATCATCATCATCATCATCCATCATCATCATCATCATATCCATCATTTTTCAGCATACTCCAGATTTCGTAATAAAAGGGAGGGGTCTGGACCCTCCAAGACAAGCCATTTCAGACCTCCCCCGTGGGAGAACCCTCCAAAACATCGTCCCCAGACCCCCCAGGCCCTCCAAGATAGCCTGGAAGAGACCCCCCCCGAAATGAGACCCCCCTCCCTTTACTACGAAATCTGGAGTACACCTCACACGTTTCGTGGCCCCATAGGGGCCTCCTCCTTTTTTCTCGCACGTCGGCTCTCGGTGCCCTGGGCCGCCCACGCCCTCCTCTTGGCGTAGAGATTCCATGCGCCTGAGGCCATCGAGAAGACAAGAACCCCTGACCCTGGTGCGACGATCAAGACGTGGCCTCCCTTCGGTCCCCGTACTCCCGGAGGTCCAACGTATTGAAAAATCAAAACGGATGTGTTTCGTAATTTTCGGCCTCGAGGGGCCCTCGCAGGGCCCCGGAACCGTCAACAAAACGACTCAGGATGAAAAAAAGGACCTGGGGAATGGGTCGAGATTTCTGGGGACCCCGTATCGAAAAATTCACGACATCGGATCTTTGGGCTCGCATCAGGGACAATGCATTTGGGCGGCTTGGTCTGATACATCTGCAGAAAACAAAAGGCCCCCATATCCTGAAGGTTGTTAGCCCCCCTATCTTAGGCCCGCTCCAAAAGGGTTAGGGGTATTTTTACCTAACAGCTTGTTCTGATAGGTTTCTAGTGGTGTCAAAAGAGAGCAGCAGATGACTCCACAGGGGGGTCTGGGCGGGTGCCGGACAGGGTGCCGCAGAAGTCGTTTTAAGCCAACAGTCACACACTTCGTGCTCTTCGACCTCCCAGAACTCCATTCCCTGGCCACATTCTGAATGCCCGGAGCCAACTGTAGGCCACTTCGTGCTCTTCGACTTCCCAGAACTCCATTCCCGGGCCACATTTTGGATGCCCGTAGCCAACTGTAGGCCACTTCGTGCTCTTCGATTTCCCAGAACTCCATTCCCGGGCCACATTTTGGATGCCCGGAGCCAACTGTAGGCCACTTCGTGCTCTTCAAGTTCCCAGAACTCCATTCCTGGGCATGATTTTGAATGCCCTGAGCCAACTGTAGGCCACTTCGTGTTCTTCTAGTTCCCAGAACTCCATTCCTGGGCAACATTTTGAATGCTGAGGCAGGCTGATGCTGCGGCCGAGGCAGGCTGAGGCTGAGGCAGGCTGAGGCTGAGGCCGAGGCTGAAGGCAGACTGAGGCTGAGGCTGAAGCAGACTGAGGCTGAGGCTGAGGTAGGCTGAGGCTGAGGCTGAAGCAGGCTGATGCTGAGGCAGGCGGAGGCTGAGGCTGAGGCTGATGCAGGCTGAGGCTGAGGCAGGCTGAGGCTGAGGACGAGGCTGAAGGCAGACTGAGGCTGAGGCTGAAGCAGGCTGAGGCTGAGGCTGAGGCAGGCTGAGGCTGAGGCAGGCTGAGGCTGAGGCTGAGGCAGGCTGAGGCTGAGGCTGTGACTGTGACTGCCGTTGCCACTGCGACTGTCATCGCGAATGCGACTACGACTGCGAGAACAGCAGAATTCTACAACTGGATTCTCATCTGAATCGTAAGGGGAATGCTTCCAGATATGCTCCTACACATCGCTGTTAGGTTGCTTTGCCGGGATAATTTTTGTTGATCATGAGGCCTCCCACGCGTTCCCTTTGTCCACTGTGTCTCTGCCCAGCGCGGCCCGCCGAGTGACCCACCGCGTTGGCGTGCGCCCTCGCCGCCGACCAAGTTCAGGGCCTGCTCTGGCGGGGTCCAAGGCAAGCGACGGACGGAAAGGGCTGCGGCGACGACGGATGGCCGGCCGGCTCAACTTCAGGTGTGTGGTCCTTCAGGGGAACCCTTAGGGGGTCCCCAAGTTCCCTGCGGTGTTGGGGATCTCGTCCCGATTTCGTCGGGTGTGACATCTGGACAAGATTTTGACGAAATCTGGACCAGTGAACAGGGTCCAGCCGAAATCACGTTTCTGATAGGGCCGCGGAGGTCCACAGAGGCTGCCATGAAGGCTCACCCAGGCCTCATGAGCTGACAAACAGCGCCCACACCTCTGCGACCCCTAGATTCCCCGGGGTGGCATTCTGGGGGGGGGGCTGCAAGTGTGTGTGTGTGTGTGTGTTGTCTGTTCGGGCTCCCCGCTCGTGCGGGAGCCATCTTCGGGGTCCGATCATCGCCTTGCCCTTCCCCATTCCTCCTCCCTGTAGGTCTGAGCGTGTGTTGTCCTTTCGTCATAGCCCGCAGCTCGACACCGACGGGCCGAGGAGTTCATGATCCTCCCCGTCGGCGCCAAGTCCTTCAAGGAGGCGATGATCATCGGGGCCGAGGCCGAGCGCCGCCTCGGCATCCTGGCATGTGGTGGGAAGCGGGAGGGAGGAGGAGGAGGAGGAGATAGAGGAGGAGAGGAGGGGAGGAGGAGGAGGAGGGGAGGAGGGAGAGGAGGATGAGGAGTATGAAGGAAGGAGGGGAGGAGGAAGGGTAGGAGGAGCGGAGGAGGAGGAGGTTGGAGGAGGAGGAGGATGAAGTGGAGGATGAATAAGAGGGGAAAGCACGCCGAGGCGGACCAGTCACGTGACTACCGACTCGGCCCAGCAGGGCGGCGCTCGGGCTCAGCCTAGCCCATTACCGCTTGCGCCACCTGCTGGGCCCTCCTGTGCCCGAGCCAGCTCCCGCTGGCGCACTCTCTCCTGGAGTGCCGCCAGCCGTGATTCGTACTGATACGAAGAGGCTGGGTTGGGCCTCGCGGAGACACTGGTCGTCTCCCTCCGAGGGACGCGGCGTGTGGGCGCCACTCGGACGGCAGGTATCACAGAATCGATGGATCGCTGGAGCTTGCGATGAGGTCCGACGCCACGCCTCAGGTTCCGAAGAATCTCAAGACCCTTGGGCGTCGGCCTGATGCAAGGTGACCTCAACTTGAGACGGCGCCTCTGTTGGGCCCACGCTCCACATTTCGTACAAACAAAAACAGGTCGGTCCACGCTATCCGAGACCGACTCGCACCGTTCGCCAGACTGGTGCACAGCAACAAGACAGTGGCCGTTCGGCCGAGCGAAAAACGCACTGAGGAAAGCTGGGGTTCCCCTGCAGCCCACTAAGGGCCAATCAACAGCGTTGTCATGCAGAACAGAGAGGCAATACTTACACTGAACTCCTAACTCCGTCCTACACCAATCATGATGTCCCTCAGTCCTCACGTTTCTACTCCTCTTGAATATCGGTGCCCTCCTCCACCTCTCCTCCTTCTCGTAGCAGGGCAGGGTGGCGGAGATTAGACGCACGAGGTTCCTCGTCGCCTCCTCGTGCAGCTCAATCTGCTTACAGAATTCGTGACGAGGAGCGGGGTGAAGAGAAACAGCCATCTTCGCGAATCTGTCAGCAGCAATGTTCGCATCTGTTATTCTTCTCTGTTCAACATTCAGCAGAGCATATTGTTCGCTCGTGCGATGTGCTTTAACATGTTCTGCTGCTGTCAGATATTCACGACCAGGAAGGCTCTGACCAAAGACCTGAACACATGCATAAATGGAACGTGATTCTCTCTGGCGCTGAGGAGACTTCCGCGCCTCGAAGACTGCACCAAGGAAATCAAAATACATGGTTGCAGGCCGATCTGCGACTTGGCCACAAAAAGCCAATCCCATATACTCAGCAATCACTGATGTCTGGGGCAGAGCAGGAGGAACAGCCCCATATACTGCAAGAAGTGGATCTGGGCCAGACGGGTTCAACAATGCTATTGCCCATCCAGCCCTCTGTAAATCACGAAGAGCAGGTTTGCTGCAAGAACCATCGGGAGCAAGTTCGATCACCTGCGCCTCTGGGCATGCAGATTCCACCATCTCCTCAGGGTTCAAATCCATCACCTCCCCGGCCATGTTCACGACGAATGCTTCATGACCAGGTGCCAATTGTGGAATCTCCTCGTCGAGATATTCAAACACCCCATGCTCAAACAACCCCGAACTATGCTCATCAATGCCGCGTTGGATGAATTCGGGTGGTACCTCAGAAGTACTTCTGGCAGCCACCACATCACCCCTCATGCAAGTGAACAAACGATGATGTACCGTATCTGGAGCTCCGCAATCACAACGACCGTCCGTCTCATAACCTTTGCATCTCGCCCGCTCACGTGTCCATATGCCACCTAGCGCAAAGGATTTGACCAGGAACTTCTGGTATGAGGTGAACTTCGAATACTTCTCTCTCACGAACGGCCGAAGAATATCATAACTTGATCGCATGCCAGCTGGAAGCCCTCTCTTGGCGGCCAAGTCGAGCTCCAACTGTCCCTGTAATGACTCAGTCAGCCGCTTCTCCAGCATGCCTGGTGTAAATTGTTGCAGTGGCACTTCAACTCCACGATGGTCAAGCCAGACATCCCACTGCTTGATTGTCCAACCAACCCGGCGAACACAAAGAGCAGCTCGCTCAAGGGGCCCTCGCGAAGACGCCCACGCTAGATCCTCAAGCGGGCGATCCTGCAGAGCTTGTGTCCACCACGTTCGGAGCTGATCCAAAGAAACTAATGCCGTATCTGGTGCCAGAACTGCTTGCCATATCATTCTTGACCACTGCAGAGCTGGGGCAAGTGCTTGACGCGCTGAAGGATCGTCAAAGAGTACAGCCTTTGCACTTGCCGAAATCCCACCATGGCATGGTTTCACGAACTGAAAGAACTGTCTACGTAATGCACTCCATTCAGAATCTGACAAGCCTGTGATCTCCACACCGAAGGTCAGGGCTGGTCGCGCCCCTGTTCTGAAGATTTTGCTTGTCCTCTCGTACTTCTTGGTGGGAATCGCCTTTCGATACCGAACAATTTTCTCCAACCGATGTTGAAAACGTCGACGTCGACTCTGTTGCTTCTCCCGCGTGGCTGCAGCTCGCCTTGATCTCCCACCGGCCTGATCTGTTCCAAGATACGTAGCTGCTCGCTTGTTGGAAGAAGAATCAAGCCCCAATTTGTCAGCAACCTTATCACCAACTCCAGATTCGGAACATACGATTGAGAGCTTGTTATTAAACTTGGCCCCCAATCTTGAAGCAGTTGTCTGGAAACTGCGACCAACTCTCACCGCCATCTCGATCAACTCATCTGTAGTATCCGCTTCGATGCCTAGGCTGCTGTCGTTTATGTGCGAAGAAAAATGCAGCTCACTGTGCAAAGCCACGAATCTGTCGTACTCCTCCAACGCGTGTACCTTGATCCCCACATCCGCATATGCATCGCCCGCTGGGAATCCACGACGAGCGTGAACTGGTTGAAGGCAATGGTGCCGCATTAATCGAATGATTCTTGGTGCCGACCAAGTGTTGAATAACAATTTCGTCAAACACGTGGGAGCTCCATATCTAGAAAACTTCTCCCTCACCGCAACTAAATCAATGGTCTCATAATACTTGCTGTAGTCAGCAATGATCTGCAAGCTCTTCCTTTTGTCATGTGCGCAAGCTTCGACGCGAGCAGCCACCTGCCGCGCAGAATCGATAGCGGATCGGCCCGACGAGGCCCCCCAATGCACACGGCGTAGAAACTGCTGGAGTTGTGCAAGCTCAGGTCGACGAAGCTTTTGCCATACACGATATACCGATCCATAAAGAACTATAAGTCGATGTCCTCCCATCGGCTTGGGAAGCATAGGCGTGCAAATCCATGACATCTGCTTCGGTAACATTCCCAAAGATTCGAATGCTTCGAACAACATGCCGAGGATGCCGAGGCTCTCATCGCTCAAGAGCAGCAGGTGTCTAGGATGTAGTCCGTCCAGAGACCCTGCAGTTGATGAGGAAAACGTTTGAGCAACGGCCCTGATGTCAGCAGCAGTTGCTCTCGGGAATGAACTCCTGTCTGGTATCCATGCTTTGGGCGCCTCAGAGCTAGCATCCCACAACGATCGATACTCATCTGCAGTTGTCTCGACAACAACGTGTGGATGTGCAGACGGAAGCCCGTCAGCGGTGACCACCGTCGTCTCGTTGACCTGATTATACTGCGTAATCTTGTGCAAAGCTCGTGCGCCTCCTGCTGCAGCTTGATCGCGCCAATCCTGCCATCGTTTTTGAGATTCTCTCCCAGCAGCCTGCTTTGCAAACTCAACGTCCTCATCAATCTCCTCAAGGAATTCAGCAATCTGTTCTGGAAAGAATCGACCTGCTACCAATCGCCTCGCCTGTGTCACACCTGCATCCAATCTCGAACATAAATGAACCCCAGGATACGGTGACGTCTGAAACAGCATCAGCTCGTCGTCAAGCATCGCAGCTTTCTCCTCATCACCATTGCTGGATGCCTGCTTCAACAGACTGAGACCTTGAAGAGCATCCGAAAGCCACTTCCATCCGTCCGCTTGTGCAGCAAGGCCTACCGCATCACTGCCATTGTAAGTTACGTCGACCCACTTCGGCTTGATGCAGCGCGCGTACGATCCAGGACACTTGACTTCCTCACCCGTCATGATGCCAATTCTCTCAGCAGCTCTGGTGATGAAACTTCCCCAAGCCAAGGTAAGAAAACCCCATGCAGCATCCGAAGGTGACTCCTTGGCCATCTCAACCGCTGTGGAAGCATACCTACGCTCCAATGACCAGTCAAAGTCCTGCTGGGCAGGCCCAAACACAGCGGTTGTGGGAAGCTTTGGGACTGCAGCATACGTCAATATCTGAAGTCGATGTCCATCAGCAGCCAGTTCGATTTGCACAGGACGGTGTGGCTTGGTTTCCCACGTAGCATCAACCTTTATCTGCTTCAATAATCGATGTGCGCCCACACTGAGACAAAAGAAGTCAATCGTACTCGTTGGTGTTGCCGTCCTGCACGTGACCGATGCTGGAGCAACAATTTGCGCTTGGGCAGCCCTAGCGAACCCTGAAGACTCAAGTACCGCCTTGTCGAGATTCCATTCACCACCAATGATACTAGGCGATGTGAGCCCAGCAAGGGACTGCCCAATGCAAGAAAGTATCCTTGAGTTGCGTACGGTCAAGCCCTCAGAACAATGAAGGTACAAATTGAAAATATGCATCTCTGGCCAGCCTGGCACATCAACCACCACGTGTAGCGCCCTGTGGGCGACCAGAACGCCAGAGACAGTCTGACCATCAACTTGAGGACGTCGAAGACCAACTTCAGCGCGGGCGAAAACAGCAACTCCCGCAGAGGGGAGATGGCCCTTGGTCTCATGTCCTGGTTCAATGATAACACTCCAGCCACGTCTGCCAGCCCGAGAGGAAATCTCCTCCGCATTGTGTGAAAAAAAAACCCAACTCCTGTGCCAATACAATTATGGCTGAGGTGCGTTGCAATCTGCGCTTCAAAGTCTCA